CCCAGGTAAGACAAAAATCTGAGAGCACTAAAAGATGTATGCATTTCCATTTGGTCTATTATTGGACTATTATTAGGAGTTAGCAATGTGCAAGTCTACTGCTTAATATAAGGGATATAATTAATATGGCTATAACAGCAAGGCAAAACGTAGTCAGTGTAAAATAGTCAGCTTATCATGAGTCCTCAGTAGAACTCACAGAAACCTCATAAACCTTAAATTTGTTTAATTCTTTCATTAGAAAATACATACGCGGATAAAATACACACAATTTGGACCTGCAATTCGTACCGAAAAACCACTTTTATTTTTGTTTTAACCATGTTAGCCTTTAGGTCAGAACGTTACGTTCTGACGGTAGCTGGAGAGAAGGACGAATCCCAGCCCACTTTTACCTAATAAACGTCCGCATGGTCGTGTGCCCCTTCGCATTGCCTAAGCCGTAGTGAGCAACTTATTGCAGTTTAAGGACAGTCTCATCCGTTTGCTTTGAGTATTTGGACAAGATCCCTAGTTTTATTTCGGAGAGTTCCGTAAGAAAAGTTTCCCAAGAAGCCAAAATCTGTAGCATTCCAGGGCCGGGCAGTAGGTACTGCAAGCTTAGTAGGGTATGAAGTCGCGTTGCGTTGATTCTGGTCCCCGCTGCCACACCTGTCCACGATCACGATGGCGACGGCATCGTTAATTACTATGACGCCCTTATCTACTTCTAGCACCGGAGGCAGATCGGTGGATTGCGTGCAGATTGTAAGATTTGTGTAAGATTTGGAGTGCCTTTGCAAGAAGTGACTTTTTTTGTCGGCAATCGTAATATTACTCCGCTATGGGCGACAGGGAAAGTAGTTCTATTCTTACAGATAAAGGATAGATCTTGCCATCTCAATTACAAATATTATTAGCTCCTTATCAACTAGTACCCTCACATTGGCAGCGCCCAATAATTGGGTTACACTGATACTAGTGGAACTTTCATTTAAAATCGCCTCCAAATCATTACTATCGATTTTAGCTGGACTTATGATATTTACTTTTGCCAAAGTGGTGGCGATCATTATGTTCTGTAGTTCGAGCATCAAATTCTCTTCCGGGTCAGGAGGTTTTCATAAAGGTGTGAAGTATTTATTTTTGCTTTCTTGTTAACCTGCAGTAGTTGATTTGCAGGAACAAAAAACTATCGGACCAGTGTGCCAAACCAACAGTTATTGAAGTTGAGGTGATAGGGAGAGAGTGATAAAACAACTAAATGTAATGCAATGTAATGCGTGCTCACGGCAACAACACAAAGTCAAGCCGACGCCGAAAAATTATAAGTTAAATAAATAATAAATAATGTTTTAACACAAATCAAAAGGCATGCACGGAATAGAATAGATTTCCAAATTGTAGATTTGTTAGGAAGTTAATTAAAGTTTATTTATGAAAACAGGCTTTATGCAAAACAAATGGAAAATATTTGGAGCGCAAAACAAAAACGCGTCTGATCTACGAAAAAGAACGAACGTTCGCCCGACTACAATTGGCCAGCACATTGCTGCCAATGCCAAACAATGTTTGCCAGGGCACCTAGTGCTAGCTATATGATTTTGTAATCGAATATTGATTTGATTGATGATACTCTGCTTAATTCTATAAACGGTCCTTTATATTTAATAGACTTTATTAAGCTTTAACCTGCCTTATACATACAATCTATATTATCTATCATATAAATAAGTATATATTTTATTAAATGATTATATTTCTTTTTCAGGCTTTTCAAATTACTACGCTCATAAGGGAATATTCAGAAATTTCAAAAACAAAAAATACTAAAATTAAATAAAAAAAAAATAAAATAAAATAAACAAAAAGAAACAATTTAGAGAAATAATCTAGCCGACTCAATAAAGCATATTATACTAAATCTTGTTGATTGTATATTAACTATATTATAATAATAATTAATATAATTTGCAAAAATTTGCTAAAAATATACTCCTTTCGTTTTAATACCCGATATTAACTCAGTATATACATATGTATGTATATGTATGGTATGTATTTTATGATTTATTTAACATATGCAATATATTTTATACGTTATAAGTAAATGTCGGAAACGGGTCTAGTTGATGCCACATAACCAGCAGAAGATAAACGTTTGCCTGGTAGCGACCGAACGGATAACGCCACAGCGTTCACCACAGCAGGAACGCATTGTAAAACAATATACAAAATAAGCACAAGCAAAAATAAAAATAGCAACAAAAGAACTTCCACGTCCAGTTTAGCTACAGAGAGATGAACGAAGCACAGAGTGGCCAACACAGAAAGGCAGCAAGCGCGGTGCGTGTGTGTTAGTATGTTAAGATAAGCAGAATGTAGAATAATCGACTCAGACAGAGTACAGAGTAAAAGGCCTAGGTTAGGTTATGGTGGTATCCGGGAAGGAGGACCGATCTGCCAGTGTCCTGTGATGACTGTGAGTAACTGCAGATCACTGTGCTCTACTGGGGCCATATAGCTCCACAGATAGCTTCTTCGATCAATATGGCCATATCGATCTCCCAACTTTACAGGAAGTGGACCAGAGCTGCTTGCGGCGGAGACGAGAACAATAAAAAGACCGAAGAACGACCGTTTTTCATTAATGTGACACTGCGAATCCCTCTTCGTTTATTACCCCAAGCTATGCTGCAGCGAATGTTGCTTCATTATTTTGGGCGTATGTGACTATGTTAGGCGGTAGATCTTAAGGGTAGCGACTTCATTCATTTTCTTTACAATTTAAACTAATTTATTTCAAATTTGCGGCTGCATCCACCGCTGTACCGACACTGGGGTAGTTTCCCCGGTTTAATACGAGTATGAGCATCTGAGTGGTCAGTAAATAACTGAAAATAACATAACTGATCGTGATGTGCTTTGGCGTTGCACCTCACAATTAGACCGATGTCCTTGGTCTCTCAGTCTATAATGGCGCACGGAGGGGCGCCTGTGGAGTAGGGTCAGATTGGTCATGACCCATATCCGTGAAGCAGATCCTCAGTGAGCTCTCCTGGCTTTCGGGGCTCACTGCTGTGTGGTCTTCATTGCTGAAATTGCTGGCTCGACCTTCGGTTTCCAGCCCTTTAATTCGGGTTTTTACAGAACTATGGTTATTTTTTTGAAGCCATAGTCTACAACTCCGTCCATACTACAGAGGAGGTGTATCGACGATCGACGACACCGATCGGGTGTAGGACGATAGGGGTTGCAGATCTGCAGAGTCCGCAGAATCTTTTTCTGGCTCTGCAGGCTTCGCCAAGACTCATGCTCTGGTCTCGCTTTCGTGTAGAGGGCCCCGCGTGGCTGGCTAGACCTTTTTGGCAGTATCTTCCTTGGAGCGTTGCCACCTATTTCAAGCCTTGGCTGCGCCCTTACCAGTTTTGGCCGACTGGTCATCTGTCAGGATCGTTTTAGTCCACTGCCTCAGCTCGATCCCTTGGATAAACAATGGAAATGCTGGATCTTCTTTAACCAGGATTAAAGCCGTGAGTCTTCTCTCTTGATATTTTGAGACAGCAGCGCCGTCTGCTGAGGTTGTCAAGGGCTCCTCGGTACCGGTAATCGATTCGCCCCTGGGGCCCACGACGTGGATTGGACCGATGAGCTTTTCGAACCTATCCTCGCAGCGCTTCTTGCCTCAAGACGGTGGACCAACTTAGTATCCTTGCCCCGCTCGCCCCGGGAAGTCTGACTTAACGTGGAAGTCGACAGACGATCCGGAGTTCGCTTATTAGCGACATATGGCATATGGCATTAGGCATATGACAGCGTCACCTTTGGATTGGGGTAATTTCACTGAGAGTTGTCTTTTCTCCGCCCGACTACAATTTGCTAGCATCCATGGCAGACACATGACCGTACCAGCACCTGTTTCGAACCGCCCTCCCGGAGAGAATACTATTATATTATATTGCACTATTGCAAACACTATTATATTTGCAAGACTACGATAAAATAGCCTGTATACGCGGTTCAGCCGAAAAACCCAGCGACGAAAAACAAACGCTTCCCGTTTTCTCTCCTGCTTTTGCGTCAGCTTCTAAGGGCTTTGCACTAACACAAACGAGAAAAAACCAGCTTTTTGACGGGGCTTTTTTTTGCCCTCAGCTATAAGAACGACTGCGCTTATATATATGTATATGTATGGCTACAGCCTTTTTAGAGCACGAACTTTGCAGTGAACAGTACCGAATTGCGTTATGTCGAATATCACTGCTTTGTGTGTTTCTTGTGTTTGTGCGCAAACAGATCACGTCGGGGTCACTAATATGTTTACAGAAAAACATCAATTATATCACTTTGATATAAATAAAGACGCACGTAACAGTAAATTAAATGTGTTAAATGTTTATAGGCTCTGCACACTGAGCCCATCCCAGGGGAATGGTGGGATATTTTGACAGATGTGAAACTCCACTTCACACTGTCACCATCCATCCATATTATTATTATACACTATAACCAAATTAATAAATAACATCTATATCTATTAAACCACAGGAATTTGCTGCTCCTTCTTCCATTTTATATATATTTTCCAACTTTCGACATTTTTCATCTGTTTTGGAATGCTTGGAACGTTAAAACCTTATGGACCATCCCCGAAATGGATGGTGGAGCTCGTCAGTGTGAATATCCTAGTATACTGTGTTTGTGGTCGGCGCTACTCCGACAGCGCGGCCCGGCTGCAGCAGCAGCCAAAAGCTCAGATCAAGCGCAAGACCGACAAAGCTAACCAGTGAGCAAGATTTAGCGGGGAAAGCGCTAATGGAGCGATATTTAAAAAACATGCAAAATAGCATAAACAAACAATGATGCTCAATTTGTTGTGTTTCATTTGCATTGTTCCAAATCATAAATTACTTGCTAACTTATCAAATGTTTTTTTAAATTAATCGAAAAAATTGTTTTTCGATATAGGCGTAGCCATTTTCTTAAGAATCAAACAAAGGTCGCGTAAAACTATTTATTAGGAAAAATGGGGACATTAACTGATTTTGGACAGATTGCTTTAAAATGGGATCCAAAAAATTTAGAGATACGTACCATGTCAGTAGAAAAGACATTGGAACCACTTGTGCTTCAAGTTACAACTCTTGTAAACACCAAAGGTCCCAGCAAAAAGAAAAAAGGTAAAAGCTACCGCTAATTTTACAAAACTACGGTCTTAATAATTAATAAAATAAAAAGGTATTTAATAAAAAAATAAAAAGGTATTTCTGTAATCAATAAATAAAATTTGCATGGACACGCAACTTACATACACGGCAGGTCATGGATATGTATCTGTCTATTAGGCGATGGTATACACATACATATGTATAAGATGGTATTGCCTTTTTTAATTACTTTGAACGGATACCATACTTTAAAAAGGATATTTTTTTGTAAAAAAAACTAACCAATCTGATTTCGAGCAATTCCAGCGCATTAAGTGATCTGTATGTATGTCTGTTAGTATGTCTCTTGATGCTTCAATCATCATAAAATATGTATACATATATTAATATAATATTGAAACTAAAATATAAAAAAAAAGGTTTTTTGTCCGAATATGTTGTGCGTAAAAAAGTGGCCGTTTTGATACTTTAAGTTTTTTCATATGCCAAAGAAAGTTTTTTTTTCTGTTTTTATGTTTAAAATTAGTATTAGTATCATTGATCTTCATAATGAAATAAAATATTTTTGTTAAAGTTAAATAGTTTTCAAGTCATTTATAAAGAAAGTTGAAATAGACGGGTGTCCGAATAAATGTTGGCCTGACTGTATGTGTGTATATCTTCTATGAACTTTCACTGCGGTTCATCTTCATTGGACGTACCACCTTCATGAAATGTCATGACATCGTTCTATATCCATTAGATCGGTAAATTTAAACCTCACTTATTATCTAATGGATGCGACCAAAAATATGAAAAAGAAATTTTAAAAGAAAAGCAGCTCAAAAAATTTGTCTTCGAATCCGGCATACTTAAAAAAGAGAACAAAAGTAATTGTATTTAGCAGGGAACTGTAACAAGTTTAAAAAAATTGCAGTATAAAAATGAATTTTTAATTAATTTAATAAAAAAAGACAATTTCAATTCAAAGAGATCCTTTTCCTTAAGATATTGTTCAAAAAAAAGAGCATGTATCCACTCTTGCACGCTTCAAATTTGTTGTTCCAAAGGGCCTTAGCTTTTATCATATTCTGAATAAGTATTGGCATGCTCTCGACTAAATTTAGTAGGTGCAGGCCAGGTATCATGCGCCACTCCCACTTCAAGCGCTCCCAAAGACACCCAATCCCTTTAGTGCAGACTCGTACTTTTCCAATGTTTTTTAAACAGAGCCCATCGATTTTCAATGGGATTTAGATCTGAACTATTCAGCAGGCCACTGGAATGAATAAATTATATGAATTAATATTCATAGATTAATAGATTAAAATAGTTTTGGAACGTCGTCGGCGCATCAGACGAAAAGAGGTGGAAAAAGTAATTTTCTGATTGAGTACTTTCGATGATTTGAATATTTAAATTTGAATTTTTTTAAAATAATGGAACCTTTCAGAAAATAGAATTTTCAGTTCAGGAGGTATGAGCATTCAAAGATGAATGCTAGTATCAGTATCTAGCAATTTACTCGGTTAGTATGCAGATACTGCGTCTTTCGGGTCAAATGCAAAATAACAGTAAACAAAAATTTGACTTAATTTTTTTTTTTTTAAGTTTTTGTTTGATTTTTTAGGATAAAAGCTCGTGAAACTTTCTCAACAATATAAATGTCTAACGAAACACATTAGAAATTTGAATTTAAACGTGTTTGTTTATCCTTACATAAATTAAAAATTCACTCTGGTATTCACTTTTATTATTGTACGGAAAAATTCATTCTAGGTTTGTAGTCTGAAAGTAAAATGGTTTTCTATTACATTTAATTCTATGAATATTGAAGAGTATGAATTAGTTAATTAGTGACAGCCTTTACATATCCTTCAATTAGTGCCAGATACCCAACTCTAAAATAAAAAAAACATCCCCAGACCATCCTGCCTTACCATTCGTTTTAGGCATTAACTTTTATAGCGTTCTCCGACCTTGCGATGATCATTCGTCCTACTTTTTCAACATCGCGTTTAGCGAAATTTCGTATAAAATTGTTTAAAGAAGACCTATCCCAAGTTTGGGGCGAATCCTGAGAAAACTAATGTTTTCTGACCGCAATGCAATATAGCTGCCCCATCGACTTAAAGTTACATAACACGAGTCTCCAAATTTCACTGTCCGCCACTATAAATACATCTGTATGTTAGATATGACTCTTGTCTTGGTCCTACAAATAACGGTTGACACTTTCGAAGTGTCTGAAAAAAACCTCTCATTTACGGACACGTTGAGAAAAGAGACAGAAAAGACCAGATCAAATCTGTTTTTGCTCAACTCGCTCAAGCCAAGACCGATTTTTTCACATCTCATTTGCTACACTTTTTGGTTTTGCTCATCTACTGACACTTTTTCTGTGAGCGCTTGAACAAAAGTGTATCTCTAAGTTGTCTCTAAGTTTGTCTACAGCAAAGGGAAAAAGTGTTGACCGTTGTTTGCGAGCTTTGCTCTTAACCCAATACGGGTCGCTCCCAAACTTTTGGAAACACCCAAACCGTGTAAAACCAGAATTAGGTTTACATATCATAACATAACTTAAGACCGTAAGCCATAATGTTACCACCAACGTGATACTCCCTTAAGCTCAATTTCTATTCTGATAGGGAATGCATTTTATAAAAACGACGGCATTTGTGTAGGTCAGAAAATTTCAAAAATTGTAAATTTTATTTAAGGCTTATTGATTTTATTTTTTAAGGTAAATCCAAACGTGCCAGTGCATTAGTTGCAGCGGTTGAAAAAGCTACAGAAAACTTTATTCAGAAGGGAGAACAGATTTCCTATGAAAATCCAGACATTACACAAGAAATGCTCACCGCTGTCGATGAAGTACGTAAAACCGGAGATGCAATGAGCATTGCAGCCAGAGAATTTTCTGAAGATCCGTGCAGCTCGCTAAAAAGGGGAAACATGGTTCGAGCAGCCAGAAATTTGCTTTCAGCTGTAACTCGTTTATTGATATTAGCTGATATGGTAGATGTTCATCTGCTATTGAAATCACTTCACATAGTGGAAGATGATTTAAACAAACTTAAAAATGCATCCAGTCAGGACGAGCTTATGGAGAACATGAGGGTATGTCTGAAGTCCTATTTTTTATTTTGCTGTCTCATTTATCTGTGTTTTTCATTTACCCTTAGCAATTCGGGCGAAATGCAGGAGAACTTATAAAACAAGCAGCAAAGCGTCAACAAGAACTTAAAGATCCCCAATTGCGGGATGATTTAGCAGCCGCTCGAGCTATGCTTAAGAAACATTCCACTATGCTTCTAACCGCATCCAAAGTCTATGTTCGTCATCCGGAGCTGGATCTAGCAAAAGTAAATCGAGATTTCATTCTAAAACAAGTTTGTGATGCTGTAAACACCATTAGCGATGTCGCTCAAGGCAAGTCATCTCAACCGACAGACATATATAGCGGCGCCGGGGAGTTGGCTGCTGCTTTGGATGATTTTGATGTAAGTATAATTCATTAACGATGATCGGTATAACTGCTTCCATTGCACATACACCAAAATAACCAAATACAAAAATTAACAAAAAAAAAAAAAGCGAATCAAAAATTAGCACAGAATATGTCGATCACAAATTCCAATTATGAAACTATATATGTAACTATTCTATAGTTGCATATAATAGCTATAACTATAAGAACAGGTCAAAAAGATAAATGGCACTTTGAAATCCTCGGAAGAAATATCCGTTTTTACTACGATCAGAATCCGACCGGAAATTGTACGACTCTTGGGTTGAATCTCTTGGAAGAAATTCATGCAGAGGCCATGTTTACTGTTCCAGTGGTTTAGATATAAGATAATCGGGGAGGAGAATTATAATGAAGGAGATGTTACGCTTATCGGTAAAACCTCCGAAAAACGACCTGTATAAATTAGCTTTATACTTTTATAAATAATATAATTGTGAACAGAGTATTTAAAACTAAGTTCATCTTCAGGTCTTTTCTTCTTGTTTTCATGAGCACCAAAATTGATTGATGACTACATATGCTGCATTATTTGCTCTCATTCGTAACTAATTTTATTTAATGTGTAGGAAGGTATTGTTATGGATCCCATGACCTACAGTGAGAAGCGTTCTCGTCAGCTACTGGAAGAACGCCTGGAGAGCATTATAAGTGCAGCAGCGCTAATGGCGGATGCCGACTGTACAAGGGATGAGCGACGAGAAAGAATTGTCGCTGAATGCAATGCTGTACGACAAGCTTTACAGGATTTACTCTCCGAATACATGTCCAATGTAAGAATTACCGCAATATTTATACTTTACGTCTAAAATTATTTAAAAAATGAACTTCAGATAAGTCAAAAAGACAACAGCCCCGGACTGGTTCGTGCGATTGACCAAATGTGTCGCAAAACTCGGGATTTACGGAGGCAGCTGAGGAAAGCTGTTGTTGATCATGTTTCCGACTCATTCTTGGAAACGACTACACCCCTTCTGGATTTGATTGAAGCTGCTAAAAGCGGCAATGAGAAGAAAGTGCGCGAAAAAGCCGACATTTTCACCAAACATGCTGAGAAGCTTGTAGAGGTAGCCAATCTGGTGTGTAGCATGTCTAGTAACGAAGATGGTGTTAAAATGGTTCGGTATGCTGCTGCCCAGATAGAAAGTTTATGCCCACAAGTAATAAATGCAGCATCCATCTTGACTGTGCGCCCAAACTCAAAAGTTGCTCAAGAAAACATGACCGCCTATCGCCAAGCATGGGAGGTCCAAGTTCGTATTTTAACTGAAGCCGTCGACGACATTACTACCATTGACGACTTTTTGGCAGTATCTGAGAATCATATTCTTGAAGATGTAAATAAATGTGTAATGGCCTTACAAGTGGGCGATGCTCGAGACTTGCGCGCAACTGCTGGATCCATTCAAGGGCGTTCCGCTCGAGTTTGTAATGTTGTTGAAGCTGAAATGGATAACTACGAACCATGTATTTATACCAAACGGGTTCTGGAAGCGGTTAAAGTTCTTCGAGAGCAAGGTATGGAATTTAAAAAGGCCACATTTCAGATAAAAATAATTTTCGCATAGGTAGACAGTTTCTGTACTTTGCAGTTTATGGTGTGGAGTCTCCGAAAAAACATGTTTTATTATTTTAGCACTAGCTTAAAGAACAGTTTTAGATTTTTAAATCGAGTTTTAGTCGCGTTTTTTAGATGCGGTTCGCAGATGAGATTTCATAGAGGTCTCGGAAGTAGCAATTTTAGTTCGGTTTTTTATGTTTTTGCCATAATGTTTCAGAACACACCTAGTTGTACCAATTTTATCACTTATTATTCATTATTTTTCAATGTGAATGTCGTATTCATGTGTCGCATTTTTTAAGAACGAGTTATGTCAATTACATTTTTTTTCCTCAATCTACTTTGATGAATATTATTATTTTTTTTTTTATTCAAAATTCAAATTCACCGTTTTCTTTGGCTTGTGCCGGAAATATTGGTGACTAAAGTGTACATTTTTGTGTTTCGAATTCAAGTGTCGAGGAGTATATATGTATGTATATTTTTATAAACGTAATTAGAAAATGCTTTAGAGGAATACAGAGAAAGTGAGACAAAGCTACCAGTATATTTCTAGATTCTAGTAGATCTGTAATCTGCATTCTCTGCCTACTTGATCTACCCAATCCGTTATAATATGATACAAATTCGTTTCTTCCAGTAATGATTAAATTTGAACAACGAGTGGAAGCTGCTGTTGGAGCTCTTTGTACTAATACTAACAAAGATGTCGACGAAAATGAGTTCATTGATGCCTCCCGACTGGTTTACGATGGAGTTCGCGAGATTCGCCGCGCCGTTTTAATGAATCGAGTAAGTAGAGTAGTGGCTACCAGTTATTTTCCTTTTCCCTGCATGTTACATATAATATATTAACTGATTATAAATAGCACTACGTAACAAAATTTATCTTTTTAGGCATTTAAAAAGGTACAACCCTTGAAAAACATTAAAAGAATACGTTATTTTAAGTTTCTTTAAAAACCATATCATGACAAAACCCTTTTTTGACCCAAATTGTACACAGCACGGAATATAGTTATTCTGAAAAGCAAAATCTTTTTATTGTATCAACTTTTTTGGTTCCCAAGATAACACAGCCATCGTGCGCGGCTGACCAGAGTATCATAACCCTATAATTATTTTATTCCCTGAACACGAATCCAAGAACAGATTTGTTCCATCACGTCAGGTTTTTTTTTTTCCTAACCTCAAACATATTTGAAAAATTAATCGGATTCGCTTCACTCGTGGGCTGTGTTTTCCAAGCAAACGATACAAAATTCATCTAAATATATTACTAAATTTTGTAAAAGTACTGTCAACTGATTCGACAGATTCTGATAGGTAGGTCTACAGAGTTCAGTTTATTAAGCATTTAAGACAAGTACCATATTTATATTGTACATTTTGTGTATTGTATATTTATATTATAACAATTTTGTTTAAATAATTTCACTTTATTTATAATTTAATTTTAGAGTTCAGAAGACCTAGACACAGATACAGAATTTGAGCCTGTAGAAGACTTAACCTTGGAAACACGAAGCCGATGTAAGAGTTTTCCACTTTAATTTTTGTATGCTTGCAGTATTAAAGCTTGATTTATCTTTCAGCAAGTGCACATACTGGGGATCAGACTGTCGACGAATACCCAGATATTAGTGGTATTTGTACTGCTAGAGTGAGTTCAAATATTAATTGATATACTATACTATACTATTTATGGCACAAAATATTTTTATCAGGAAGCAATGCGGAAAATGACCGAGGAAGACAAACAGAAAATTGCCCAACAAGTGGAACTATTTCGTAGAGAGAAAATGACTTTCGATTCCGAGGTCGCAAAATGGGATGATACTGGCAACGACATCATTTTTCTAGCCAAGCACATGTGTATGATTATGATGGAAATGACCGACTTTACAAGGTTTGAAAAAATTGTCTATTATGTTTTCTTCTTTTCGTTGAAATGACTGCCAAAAATGGTACCCTAAAGAACATATCAGGTTATCGTCGATGCAAGGGTGGGAGTATTTAGCATGCATACATATATACAGAAAAGACACTTGCCGTTCGCTCGGGACAAAGTGCTGAGTGAGTAATAAAAGATAAGTGTACAAATCTGTCTTTACTTGCGCGAAGAAGGAATTGAGCAAATATATATTTGATCGGGTCATTTCAGTTTTTTTCTCAATGTGTCCGTAAATGATTTTTTTTTAGTGTAAGTGTAAGGGTCAACCTTTATTGGCGAGGTCTGGTCTTTAAAATTTGCTGCGATTGCTCTCCACTTTTACTCTACACATAGCTACCACAATTTCGGTGTTCGAGCTTTCAGAGTCGGCGATCCTATTTGTCCTATTTATATGTATGTATAAGAATACTGCTGGTTCTTGCACTTCTTGAACTTACACTCCCCGACACTTAAATACGACATACTAAAATGTACACTTTAGGCACCAATATTTCCGGCACAAGCCAAAGAAAACGGTGAATTTGAATTTTCCTCAAATCTCTATTCAATTTAGCAAAAATTAAAAAAAAAATAGTAGCAATATTCATCAAAGTAGATTGAGGAAAAAAATTTAATTGACATAGCTCAAAAAATGCGACACTTGAATACGACATTCACATTGAACAATTTTTTATTTTGGATATGGTCGCGACCGGACATCGAATAAATTATCCAAAATCAATTAGAGTGTCCTTATTACGAGAAAAAATTTGGGTTGTGGTAAGTCCTTTTTAAATGATGAAAAGTCGACAATAAAAGCCTCGAAGGAAGAAGTTTTTGGGTCTAATTTATAGCTATGTATTTTATGTATCAGAACTGCAATTTTTTTTACAAAAACCTCAACAAAAGTCATTTAAAAATTTAAGGGTGATTTTTTTAGTTACATAAGAATTGTAAAGTAAACAGAAAAATATAAAGATTGTGGTAAATGGAAAAGGACAATATGGTAAATTTAAAATTTATGCTACATTTTCTCAGAGGTCGTGGGCCCTTGAAAACTACCATGGACGTCATCAATGCCGCTAAGAAAATTTCTGAAGCAGGTACGAAACTAGACAAGCTAACCCGAGAGATAGCGGAACAGTGTCCAGAAAGTAGCACCAAGAAGGACCTATTAGCTTATCTGCAACGAATTGCTCTTTATTGTCATCAAATCCAAATTACTTCGAAAGTCAAAGCAGACGTACAAAACATAAGCGGGGAGCTAATTGTTTCTGGGGTAAGTAAAATAATAGATATTTGAATTGTACTTTATAATAATATTTTGATTTCATTCTCAATTGAAAGTTGGATAGCGCAACATCGCTTATTCAAGCTGCTAAAAATCTTATGAACGCAGTAGTTCTTACTGTTAAGTATTCCTATGTAGCTTCGACTAAATATACTAGGCAAGGAACTGTATCAGTACGTATAAGTATTTCTGAAATTTTACCCACGTTCATTTACAATTTTACATATTTATTTATTCAAGTCTCCAATTGTTGTATGGAAAATGAAAGCACCAGAAAAAAAGCCTTTGGTGAGACCAGAAAAACCCGAGGAGGTTCGAGCTAAAGTTCGAAAGGGCTCTCAGAAAAAAGTTCAAAACCCTATACATGCTTTATCTGAGTTTCAGAGCCCCGCTGATGCCGTATAAGGAAATTTAATTTAAATTTAGTTTTATAATAATCAAGTAAATTATATAAAATAAATTAAACATTAAAATATTTTAGTAAAAGTCTAAGTTACAGTTTCTCAATACTAAGGATTACAAAAAATCATAAATAAACATTGGTACTAAAACTTGTTCCACTGAGAGTTAGTCCATTTAACGGGTACTTGTGACTTCTTTTTCATGTCAATTGGCCTGACCTTGCGAGTCCGAACTCTGATTTGCACTCTCTGCACTTAGAGGATGTGCACTGGGAAACTCTATGCCCAGATTGAAGGCAATTAATGCACAGCTGCTTGACCTTTGCGAATTCGAACCACTCCAACACGGGTATCGCCCCAAATCCAATTGAGTCCAATTTAGAATCGAGTGGTTGGAGCCACAATATTGTGACGGACCTATTTCAGGCTGAGGTATGCACAGTCAAGTCCAGGGGACATCCACAAGAAATTTGTAGAAATGGATGGTGGGCTGATCTGTAGTTTTATTGCACGTTGGGAGAGGCGTTGTAACGAGTCCTTTTAGATTCATTACAATATATGCACTTTGGATCGATAGACTTTAGGACATCATAGTCCTGCTGCATAGACCTTGACAACGCCAGATGTACGATCATAGAGTTAGCAACCTCTTGCTCGTCTCCTAATGATAAGAGCGACTCGAAAATTGCTGACACGAAACCTATAACTAAGCGCAGAGAAGAGGCGGACGGCATAGTCATGGCCGGGATTCGAAACAGCTGGGCAAGTGTATCGAAATATATTAAGCACTTGTTGTCATATACCCCCTTCAAAATTTCTATAGCCTTCGAATAGTTTTTATCTGTGACTTGGAATACCTGTATCGTTCCCAAGGCTTCATCGGACAAGCACGAAATGAGATGGTTGAATTTCTCAATATTGGCCAACGACCAGTCGGAAGCTACCAAACTTTCGAACAAATTAATAAATTGTTTATATTCCGCGTGCTTGCCGCTGAACTTTGGCAACTTTAATTTTGGCAAATTGGAACGGTGCTGCACGGGAACTAAAATTCCTTGTGGTTGGGAAGACCTGTTTGGCGCTGCCGACATGTACAACGCCTTTGTAATCAGACACGTTTCTTCTAATTCCGACCTTTCCGAGTTATCTGGATCTACACTGTCGATCTCGGACTGCAGGGCCACTTCTTTGGTAATGTATGACTCTAATGATTTCCAAACGACATTGGATTTGTAGTGGATCTAGCGAAATTGCACCCTCCTCGAAGGCTATTCTCATTCGATTAATATCTTCGGTAACCTTGTCCCGCTGCGTATGTAATTTGGTCAGTTTCGCGCTTCCACACATCCAGCCCGCGTTTGTCTTCTATTCACTATTCTTTTAGCCATTTCGTTTTTTGTTTTAATTTATTAAATATAAGGCAATAAAATGTTTAAATAAAATATTCGAACGCTTGAACGAAAGCACTTCGAACTGTTCTAAGCGAACGCTACCAACAGCAAAGCTTTGGCTCGAACCACGATCGACACGATACGAAGCGTGCGATGCGCGAAACGCTAAGCGCGCGCAGAAATACGTATGTAAGTTAAAAGACGTTAAGTTAAGTTGCCGAAGACGAAGCGGCAAACAATGTTCTACTTAATCCCACAAATTTAAGAGAATGTTAACCATTTCCACGAACAAATAACGGCAATGCGCATTGACTTACCGCTGCAAGGGTCAACGTTTTCTCGAAACGAAAGTTACGTTTATCTATAGCATCACTCAAGAGGCCAGAAAATCCAGCGCATTTTGCGTGCACCACGCTGTCGCAGAGCCAGAAGGGAACATTCGGCTGATCGTGGGTAATCTGCTTCTTACAATTTTTTTTTGGCGAAGACCACAGCGTATTCTATTTTTATTATTTATTTATTTACAAATTTGCAACAAAAAATTTCAAAAAAATTGGTATCAGACCAATGTGCCAGACAATGCTCAAAGCGGAATTAGTAAAAAAGAGAGCAGGTTAAATAGCGGTTATAGCGAGAGGTACTAAACAGAGAGAGCTATTGCTCAGAAAGTTTAAAGAGCGAGAGAGAAAGAACAGTTGTTTGAGTTTGGATAATAGGGAGAGAGTGATAGCTACAGCAAAGGCTACGGGATAAGAGCGGCTTAAGCGCTGCGTGAGCGTACTTAACGAAAGCAACACTTCTGAACTTCCTTCGGTTTTATTGGCCGACCTTTACTTACGAAATAAGATTCATTTGCATCACAAAACTGCTTCATAGTAAAAAAGTGCATTGCTGCAATACTGTTTTGCTATTCGCGGTGCTGTAGGCCTGATTTAAAGTTTGTACCGCGCGCCAAGGGCGGACATCCGGAAACAGTACTCCTTCACTGTTCTCTTCGATCGTCTGGTTGTATTAGCCATATTAAAATGGACTTCTTCTTCTTCGTCTGGGTTAGCTTCATTCTGTACCTGTAATCTTGTATAGTTGCAGCGAAGTTGTTTCATGTGGTGTGTAGAACAGGCGAAGAATCGAACCACATTTTGTTGGGACCCTTTGACCGATGCTTGCCTAACGTTCAGCGTCTCCTCATGTTGACTAGTAATTCCAGCTCCTTGTGGCAAACTTACGTCTTCAGATTTTTCATACTCAATTAGTCGTTGTATTAATTCGGGTCTGGACCCAGAAAACGCCAAGTTCCTCTCTCGTATCAGGAACCTTAACTAGTCACCCCTAAGTTCCCCTATTTCCACCATTTTTCTTAATATGCTTGTCACTCTCTCAATGAATTTTGTCTGCTTTTAAGCTTTTCTTGAGCTTCTCTTACAACTTTTTTGCTCTACACATAACCACTGAGAACTGTGAAGGGATGTCTTTTTGATTAATATTATAGTGTTTATTGATAATGAGAGTTGAAAATATATGTACATAAAGTTCTTAATTTTATCTGTTTTGCGTCGCTTCCTCTTTTTTTCTGGTTATCTTGAAACTATCGATGTTAATGTCTATGCTGACACAGCCACACTGCGGCTCGTTCGCCATGCTGAGTATCTCGTCGTCATCTATCCGGTGAGAGATCATCCAGTCCTTTACCTCTTCTATGAAGGTTACGGGATTGGGACCCGTCGAACCGCACGCTCGGGAACCAACCAAAGAGAGGCCCCAGTCCCTGGCTCGAACGGGTCCGCGCTACGCTGTCCTTCCTCTGCTGCCCCGGGTATTAGAAATAGGTTTCCGAAAAATGTAGTCCCTGGTATTTCCGTGTCACCTAAAGTTTAATTGGGGGATCTGCAAAAAACTAGACTGAAATTGTCCTTGGCACCGGAAAAGGGATTGATAAAAAGTAACCGATACGAAATTAATAAAACCGATTGATTGTATATAATGAAAGCATGTCTAATTTTATTAGCAAATTTAATAATTTAATAAATAGTTAAGTACATTTTTCAGTCTTCTAGAAAAATTATATATTCGGACTACGCCTATTTTCATCTGAAAATTCTTTAAACGAAAGTTATAAACCTTTTTGTGTCTATTATTAATTCTAAAAATCTTAATAAGACCTAATCCAGCGGTTTACTGTAAGAGGTGAAAAGATATATGTATTTATAAATGAATAGTTTATATGTATGTATGTTCGAGTCTTTGCAAGATATTATGCTCTTGGCCACAATACTAGAGGAAAACATTTAGCCGGCAAGGCTACACTGGCATGATTAATATTAATTTTGGATATATCAGCACTGGTAATATTATAAGACTGCACAATATTTGCTAATAAAACGAACCCAAATCCCCGCACTAGATTTTGTCCTATGCACGTGCGCTTGCCTATACTAAAAGGTAGGAAATGAGGAATATTTTTTTTTAGTTGGTATCCACATTTATCATTAAATATATTTTTGCTTTTTTTTGAATTTTTTGTACTTGTTAACTTATCAATAATTATTTTGTGTACATGCGTGTCTTTTTCGAACTCAATACCGGAGTCGGATCCCTCAGAACCGCGTCTATTGTCGTTACATTTTACAACTTTCCAGATGTTCCTTCTATAATTTTCATCAAGAAATCGTTCTGGTTCAAAATGGTCGGGAGAGTTCCAATATTTTTCACTCATATTTAACATATAATTATTAATGAAAATGATAGTGCCTCTAGTTACGCCAAATCCAGCAATAGCTGTGTCTTCCATTGCTACATGTGGAACAATAGGTGATGACGAATATCGCAGGACCTCAAAAATTGTAGCCATTGTATAGGGCATTGCGTCCATGTCATAAAGGTTTATTCTGCGACGTCCTTTATTTGTAACGATATCAGCTTCATGTTCAATTCTACGACCAATCATTGGATTTTTGGCTATGTATGCAAGTGCTAACATAACCAGATTTCCGACAGCAGAGTGGCCACCAATAAAATCTTCGAGCATAAATATAATCGTGTTACGCGATACATTCTGGTCTTCTTTAAGACTTCTTAGCAAGGCATCTGTGAAGTCATTTTCAGGTTCGTCTAAATCGAGCATTTCTTCGCGTTGATGAATAACCCTATCCAAAATAAATTTACGTATTGTTGTAGACCATTGCACTATTTTTTGAGTATGATTCTTATAAAACGGTAGCATCCATGGTAGGAAATCTAAAGAATATCCTTGGTTAATTTCCCAAAATATTTCGTCAAAATATCTCACTATTCGCCGAAACTCCTTGTCATTATAATCAAACCGTATTGAGCACATATATTGGCAAAACATATTGGCGCTAGCTCCAAGAATTATTTTTTTTATATCGAAGGGTTTTCCCGGTTGGGCTTTATTCAGCTCACGCATTAAGTGATTGATCTCATTGCAGCCTATATGAGACATTTTATTAAAATACGGAGACGATTCCCGCGGAGAACAATGCCGTCGAGCTAAGTTTCGCCGTTTTTGTTGCAAGTTTGACCAGTCGCACAGCGCAAGTGCTATAAAATGTAAATAGAAATATACATATTACTTATATACATATATATATATCGGATTTTAAAAAAGTCGTATCGTATATAACATCTATGTATTCGTATTATATGTAGATGTATTCGTTATATTAAGTAGTATCTAATACACATGGAAATTCATACAAAAAACACAACAAAACTCATAAATAATAATATAATCTATTGGCTTCTCAAAACCGTTGTGATCGGATGAATATTATAGCGGGCATGAGGAACATAAGCGGGGCAGATTATCTCGCCCACTCACACTTTGTCCGGCATGAACTCAAGAAGAGAGCACCATCATCTTTATCTCCTTCCTTGATAGGTCACCCTCAGTGAGATTCGTAAAAAAAAAGTGAAAAAAGCTAGCTGCCACACCTGCACGTTGATGGTTGTTTATTGTATATTGGTAATTAAGCTCTCGACATGATGCTGAGATTGCAATTGAGAGACTCATGAGGGATACAGGGTTATCGAAAAAGGCATTCTTTGGTCCTTGAAAATTCCTTTACGCTGAAGATGTTGAGCATGTTACAACGCGAATTCTGCATTTTTTCTGATTTTTTATGATTGAGATTCAGCAAACTATGTCGTGTAGACAATCAATCAATTCAATTTCAATAAATTTGTACATATCATTCCTGTTGGATGAGGACTTAGGAAGAGTGAAACTTGAAGTTAATCCTGATGCCGAATAACTACACTATGGACGATGACATGCAATGACTGCATCTTAAAAGAGGCGATGCAAGTACTGCACCGTCAAGTAGACAGTGTGACACCAGCAGAAGGCTGTTACGCGAGGATCCCAGGCGAAACGCAGCCCTCCTCCCGCCCAACCGAGCGAGGGGCGCTGCCGCATGACGCGCGACGTGTTAACCGAACCGAACGCGAACATGGAGGAAAGATAGCTGTTAAACTAATATTCGAGGACCTTTGACCACCTCTTTATAAACCCAAGCACGCCCATGGCCTTATTTACCATGGTAGAAATGTGTTCGGAAAACTTTAACTTGGGGTCTAACATAACACCCAGATCATCTACCAGAGTAATTCTCTCAAGAGAACCACCAAATAGGGTATAGGGAGCCAACAAAGGGCTAGAACGATGAAATGTCATAACTTTGCATTTCGAGTCATTGAGGTTTAACAGTTTACACAACACCATGACTGACGGATTACAAACGAGAATGAAATAAAATGTCCTTACACTAGGCCCAGAGTTTAAAATCATCCTCATACATATGTACTCGTGTGTATGTTAATAACGACGGCAAATCATTAATAACGAGTGTGAGGATGAAGGGGCCTAGGTGGCTGCTATGTGGTACTCCTGAAAAAACCTTTACTGGTGAAGAGAGTGACTCTAAACTCTAACAAATTCGTGGTGGTTGATCGCCGCCTTATAAATCCATGCAGAGTTGGAGCTATACATAAGTGAATTGCAGAGGTGTCGCAAGTGCGGAGTTAAGACTTTCTCAAACGTTTTAGAAATATCGGATAACTTTGATATACTTTGATGCTACCTTTTTTATGGAGAGAAATTATAATCGATTCTTTCCAGATCGGGAAGAAGCAAGAAGATTAAATGGACAAGGTGAATAGTTTAAGCAAGGGTCCACACAGTGCCTCGGCGCAGTACCTGAGTACACAACATAGAACCCCATCTGGACCCGGTGAAAGCACCGGCTTAAATAGTCGAAGATCATGAAGTAAAGAACATTCATTTATCAAGGGACTGTAAATGCCGTTCGAACTCGGTAAATCTTATGGGGACGGATGACCAGAGTAGCTTTCCTCAGAATAGGTAGTCTCGAAAAATTGGGCAAAAAGATCTGTAATTGCCTGATCATTATTTGCCGACGTACTACGAAATGATAGCGAAGATGGGTGTGGGGACTTTCTATGATTACTGCTTACGAAGCTTTAAAACTGTTTTGGGTCCTGTGAAAAACTTATCCTGAATGGAGATAGGTAGTTCTTATTGCATTGAGCATTAAGAACTGAAAAGTTTGACCGAGCTATTACATAACGAGAGTGAGAGGTAGGAGAACCAACTTCTTGCAATTTTATATAAAGTCATGATTTTAAGTTTTTAGACTGGATAATTCTTTGGTAAACCAAGGGGGCTTTCCAGATCTAATCGGACAAGAAAGCGGGACACAAGAATCAAAAAATGTGCCAAGAACATTGTAAAAAATGTTTGTGCCTTTTGTGACATCAGTGCACAAGTACAAAGCGGACCAATCAAATTAAGCTTATTAAATTAAGCTTCGCAAACTTGGCTTTACGAAATCAGCGGACATATATATCTAGCGACACTTCGAAAGTAGGATGGTAGGCGTCTTAAGGTATAGTGAAGCAAGCCGTCAGCAAAGTCATGTCGTGACATTGGCACTAGGTTACTAGACTCGTTAACTGAAAACCAAACAGTACCAGGCGAGTTGAAATCACCAAGAACTATCATATGATCTTTATCTGATAAGTTAGAAATTACCTCATTAGATGTGAGGTCAGGGGCCTGCCGTAAAACAAAAACTTGTCGCTTTGGTGGAACCCCCACCACTGGTTGGGGCACCACAGGCCTAGTACCTGTGGTCACAATATCCGGAGGTTCGGAACTTCTATTCACTGGTGGGATCGGAATTCACGGGACAGATAGTGAGGTTGCGGACAACATGGAGACGAACGTTATTGGCTGCACGTTCTACGAGGCGATGAATTCGGCTACGAATCTGCACCGCCAGCAGCTGTCGTTGCCTGTGGGGTGGCAAACGAAATTAGCTGCAGCACACTTTGAGTGGTTGGAGTCAGTTTGACTGAGTGACTGTTGGCATTTGCAGATCGCTCAGAGTGACCGTTTTGCGCATCGGAGACTCATTCAGCAGTTTCGGACCGCTAAACTTAGCCTCCATGGCGCCTTTTGGCGTAGACCACAGCGAATTCCTTTTAATAATTCCATAAAAATTCCATATAATAATTATATTTATTTATTTAAAAATGTTCAATACAAATTTCAAAGCAACTGGGTATCAGATCAAAGTGCCAGACAAACCCTCAAAGCGGAATTAGTGTAAAAAAAGACCACAGAGGAGACTGGTTACAGCAAGAGCTATTAAGCGCTGTTGCTCAGAAAGTATAAAATGCGAGAGAGAAAGAACAGTTGCTTGCTTATGGCCGTTCGGCCCAGCTTAGATTCTCCATTAATAGTAGCTGTAGTAACTTGAGTTATAAATGAACAAGTCGATATCTATGTCATTGCATAGAAGACAGGAGAATTTAATGCAAACCTGGACATCCATAGCATAGTGGTTGTAGATATGAGAGTTAGATTTCACCTAAAGGGCTTATGTACTGCAGGTTGTTGTAAAGACTGGCTCCTCTTAAAACTAAAATAATAAAAAGCCTTTGTCATTTGTTCCAAAAAGGTAGCCACAACAGAAACAATCTTAGTCATACATCTTAGTCCTGTGTACTGAGCAAAATAAGCCCCAAAAAGAGAGTGCGTTGAGTGAATACACAAGCGTGCATAATTTATAGCCAGCAAAACGTGTCAAAACGGTAGGGGAAATTTGTAAACGCACTATTCATAAGCTGCGGACGAAACTGATTCTGTTTATAATCAAATTTACAGTTCTCAATTTGGAATTCGAAGCACCGTACAACGAGAAAACCCTGATGGTTGGATATATCAAATGAGAATTTGTTCGATTTTCCACTTTTGCAGATACAACTTCACCACTGTTGAGTATCAGGTGATGTCCTTTTACTCGTTTTATGACAGATTTGAAGAAAGGTGGATTAGAAATTGAAATAATTTTCATAAATATCAATATCAACTAAACAAAAACGGAACCTAGGTTATAAATGAAATATAAAAACGATTTTTCCAGCAGACTATCTGTGGGTTCTCAAAGATCTACGAGAATAGAACAGAAATCTGGTTAGACAGAGTACAGAGCTCTACTAAAATTACTGGTTGACTTTATCAAGTAAACGGCTAAAAAAACAAGGCGTTGTGAAAATATTCTATAACTGAAAATATTAAAGCAAAACTTTAACAAGCTACCATTCTCCATGGCTGCACCAATTATTTCAGTCGCATACGAACATACATACTAACGATTTACCTTTATTAACCATTCTTTGAAATTTTTAAACTAATAACCACATCTTCTAAGACTTTATAATGCATTTAGCTTGTACTTACAATTGTTTCGATCACCACCGAAGAGCTTGTGATATCGTATAAAATCCGGACGTCCACCAATAAATTTGCCATTTTTATTAAGAACTTCTCGAATTAAATCTAAGCTATTTACTACCAAGCATCTTGAGTGACCAAGAGTCAATGAATATATATCACCATACTGCTTTGTTAATGCTCCAAGACCCTCGAATGGGTTGCTTTTAAATCGACCTAATAGATCGAGGTTCCCGATAATTGGCCAGGGTTGCGGACCAGGAGCCTGACCAAACTTTCTAATTGCTTTTTCAGGAATGGAAAGCCCGATTCGAACAGTGGCTTTTTCATTGCACTTAAATATGATTAATATGTAAGAAATCACTATTGCTGTAATGCCAATAGCGATTATCAAATAGCACACCGAAAAAAACATGCTTGTTTCCTGCGCAAATTTTCACTCAAAGAATTTACTAGTTAGCTCAATATTCTCGACTAAACAGATAACTGTTTTTGCTACGTATTTATATGCACTCTCAGCGACAAAGCTTCTGTCGCATTTTTAACGTTCTTGTTATTCGAAGCGCTTTCTTTAGTCTTCACATTTGAATGTCTAAAGTTAAAGCGCAAAGTTATATATCATTCTTATTTGAATGTACATACATATGTACATGTATGTATGAGCGTACGTAAGTCAGATCAACGTGAGGCAACTAAAACCTAGGAAGTTAAAAGTACATATGTATGCAAATACATATATTCATGGGCATACACACACACTCGCACATTTATATTGATGTATGAACGTATTCAGGTGTTCTTAAGGTGGTGCTAAAAGTTTGATTTTACTCATGTTAAACGAATTTCCGATTTGATTAAATTTGGGAATGTCTGACAGTTCCTATTTTATTTAAAGTAATCCAAATTTAATATTTAGCTGTGTACATTTACAGGTAGCTTATTTGTACAAAATTAATAAGAACAAAACTAAATGGTTTTTGTAAAAAAAATATCTTTTGATATAGATATAAGATTGAGCAAAGATTTTTTTATTCTATTATATTTTAATGTCTAAGTTTAAATAAAAAAAATTTTTAAATTAAAAATATTACCTTTTCCTTTGTCCGCTATATTTCATTATCAATAGTATCATTCAATATAGAAAATTAACTTTTTGATCGTTTTACATTACATAAAAATTGTTTTATATATATTGTTTGTCATATATAGCCCTTTTCATATTCGTGCAGCTACCACTCTACAGGAAGCTTTCCGTGTAAAATTAAATAATACGAGCAAGAACGTTGTGAGTCGCGGCAAGCCCCGCGGCTCTACTTTTATACCCGGCTCCCATTTAGTATATACAATAAGCCAGGCTGCGGTTTTCATTTGCACAAAAGTTTTCCGATCTATTTTTTAAATCACATAAATTAGTGCTCCCATTTTCACAATCCGCAAGATTTCTCCAAATGAATCAATTAAACAGATTTTTATAAAAAAAAAATAGATACTTAATGATGAATTAACATAAATTGTACACCATTAATATGTAAGAAGCTTGTGCTTTCTGCATAAATAATTTTAGTTTAACCCAATCTTAAATTTGGATCGGAAATAACTCGTCAGGGCAAAAACACTTTTCGTTTTCGTGCTAACAGCTGCTAACAGCAACAAAGTAATCAGTTTACAGTTAAATTTCCATAGTAATGGTGTCAAATTTATGTTAATGCATCAATAAGTCATCTATGTTCCTTTTGCAATTATGATTCGTTTCGTTGTATTTATAGCCGTTTACTTATCATTTCGACGAGGAATATTTTTCCGTTTTGAAATCAGGAGCACCAATGTATGAGTTTTCAATTGGAAATCAGAATATTTTGTGAAATTGAAAACCGAAGCCTGCCTGATTCTGTTAGTTTCGTTTATTGTTAATTTAAATATATTTAATCTCTTGTATTTGGTTGCTAACCTTGCATTGATTTTGTTTTTTAGCTGGCTTTATTTTGTGTCTGATGAAAAGAAAACATTTGCTAGCAAAATTTTTTGCTGTTAGAGACACATTATTTAAAGCAAATTTAGAGATGAAGAATACCAAGAAATTAAAAAAATGCACCCTCTAAAAAAATAAAAAGTCAACTTTTTATACCCGATACTCAAAATGAGCCCGGCTGCAGCAGCATCAGCCGAATGCTCCGATCGAACGGAAGATGTGTCAAAGCTAACCAGAGCGCATGCTTTAGCGGGGAAAGCGATAATCGAGAGAGATAACAAAACATGAAAAAGAGCAAAACAAAAAAGGAAGCTCGATGGCATTTACTTTAGAACAATTCTGTTGCGTTCTGCTACGAAAAAATTGATTACCCTTTCAAAAATTTTTGATTTTTATAAACTTTTAGATATATTTATGTATGTATGTACATTAATAAGAAGTATATTCTGTGGCAGGAGCGTATTTTTGTATATGTATATGTATATCGCACTATAATCTTGAACTCGTAAGTAACTTACTCAAGCAACTCCTTTTAGAAGTTTGAACTTTACCTGGACTTAACTTCATCCTTTTTTTACCAGATACTCAAAATGCGAATAGTGGTATATTAGATATGTGCTGAAAGTGGATGTGTTTAACGTCCAGAAATAAACGTGTCCGGCCCCATAAAGTAAAAAATCAATTTGCACTGGCTACGTAGTGCACGACGACACGTTCTAATTGATTTTCTGGCTCTCTCGCACGAAATCTTTGTCGTGTTGTTCAAAGCTAGCTCCGCCTGGCGATATTGATTATGTATCGGGTATAAATGTGCTAATTGATTGTCCGTGATCTTGTGGACAATGACGGCCATGATGTTAGTGGTGAAAATCCGTAATTTCAGGACGAGTACCACCGAGAAACTTTCAGTTGATTTGGGATTTCGAAGTTGAAGCAGATTAGTTAGACGAGTAGTTACAAAATGCATTTGCGATCGCCAGCCCAACATTGCATGAAAGTTCCAGCGCTGTTTTTGACGAGAACGCCGACGTTGGCTAATTACATAGCATCAGACGGCCTCTGGATATAACAGCCGGCGGCAAGGAGGGCGACAATGGTGGGTATGTCATGGTTGCGTTTGTGACGATTCATTTGGAGAAACAGATTGGAATGAAGGAAATGCAAAAAAATGTGGTGCTTCGATTGGCAAGTACGGCAGGGGCCTGATCAATACTTACCATTGTTTATTGTTTAGAGTTTATAGTTCAACAATGATCAGTTAAACTGTGTATAAAAAAGAATATGAAAATCATAAATTATATACTACTGGCAAGTTCGCTAACATAATTTAGGACACACGAAAGTTAACTTAAATTATTCATTAATGAAGATTTGACTTTGGAAGCACAAGTATGAAAAGAAAATAGGAAGGGGTAGTTTCAGAAAATTCCTCAGACCGACTTTTGATAAAACCAATGACTTCTTTTGCTTTATTCGAAATAGCGGATATATGAGAATTAAAATATAAGCTACGTTCAAAGGTAATCCTCAAGTCATTAAATTTGTACAGGCGTTCCAAGGAAATGTTGTTAATTGAAAAGTCCGAAAGGTAAAGCTTGCTGCGATGGATGGTCATGACGTTACATTCCGAAATGTTTAGAGGAAGAGCCGTATTAAAACGCCAGTTCAGCCACAAGAATTAAATACATGTTATAAGATTAAACCAAGTCTCTTTTTTATTTTGGAAACAAATGGGTGTCAAAAAATCTCATCCCATCTCAAACCGTGTTCTTAACTGGTTTTCTTTTTCAATCCATACCTATCGCACCGTTCACTCACGACGTGAGACCCGCTTACCACTTATCCTGCGCTATTCCCCGTCAACTCTTTCTCCGACGAAAGCGCCGTTGATGTGGGGTTTTCCCGAGGATCCCGAACCAACTCCCTCAGCTTCTCGTTCTCTGGATTGTCCCCAGCTTCCAACCAGCATTGCTCGGCTTCCACCGCCGTAGACGGCGGCGTCGGTAGCTTTCGCCTTTCTTTTCTGCTGCTGCCGTGTGGGTTTGTTGCTGCGTTCTGCTCTTTCTTGATCCGCTGCTGGCACGACGTTGCTGTCTCATAATTTACGGGTCTTTCTGGGCCTTGCCTCTTCCCGTCCGGCGATTGCCTAAGCCCTCTCGGTGATGCCTGTCGGCGTCCACGTTTGATTCCGAGTAGTTTGTAGTCCCGTAGGATCCCGAAGGTGCTATCCGGCGATTGCCTAAGCCCGGTCCCCAGTGTGATCGCGACCCCGTAACAATCCATGGTCTGATGGGTCCAGAAGGTGCTGTCCGGCGATTGCCTAAGCCCTCTCGGTGATGCCTGTCGGCGTCCACGTTTGATTCCCTGTAGTTTGTAGTCCCGTAGGATCCCGAAGGTGCTATCCGGAGATTGCCTAAGCCCACTCGGTGATGCCTGTCGGCGTCCGCGTATGATTCCCAGTAGTTTGTAGTCCCGTAGGATCCCGAAGGTGCTATCCGGCGATTGCCTAAGCCCTCTCGGTGATGCCTGTCGGCGTCCACGTATGATTCGTCGTAGTTTGTAGACCCGTAGAATCCCGAAGGTGCTATCCGGCGATTGCCTAAACCCTCTCGGTGACACCTGTCGGTACCCAGTACGGTGGCGATCCCCGTAACAATCCATGGTCTGATGGGGTCCCGAAGGTGCTGTCCGGCCCTTGCCTAAGCGCTCTCGGGGACGCCTGTCGATGCCCCAGTGTGGCCGCGATCCCCGTGGTAACCCAGAGACAGATATTCCCGCAAGGGCCGTCCGGTGATTGCCTAAGTGCCCTGGTACGTCTCGTACGGTCCTCTGGGCTTCAAAGTTGACCACCCCACTTGGAAGAGCCAATGGGTGACCTCTCTGGGTCTTTTCGGGGCGACTCAGCCATTCCCGCCCGCGGGACAGACTCTTCGTCCACCATTGTCGGTTCAAAACTCCGAGTCAAACTATAAATATTGCTGTAATTTCGACCCTGGAGAAGATTGAGATATTTACCCCAGCCAAAATCACTTCCTTACACTTTTTCAATTGCTTGTTGTGAAGCAAAACGACAGCAAAAATTGCTCTAACTAAGACGATGAAGACATCTTAGATGCAACACGTTGTGAACATATCTGACATCATATTGAAAATTAAATTGCTAGTGGTTAACAAATTAATTTTTTGTACCAACATTTTCGTTTTGTTGTACAAAGAGCCATTTCTTTTCATTTCGGCGAGGAAAATGTTTCCGTTTTGAAAACGGAGAAATATTGTGTTTTCTGAAAACGGGAGCACCAATTCATGTGATTTCAAAAGTATATCGGAAAATGTTTGTGCAAGTGAAAACCGTCGATTACGTGACGCAATAAATTTAAATTTCTTTGCGAAGACGATCATGATACTTTCTCTCGCTTATTATAATTTGAGGGCGTAAGTTGGGGCGATGGGATGAACCAGCTCACTTGGACCTGTTAATGGTCCATTGTGTTGTCGCATGGGCGCATGGCATGCCCTTCGAAAAGTTCCGAAATGTCCATAAGGAACGGCGCCCCAAGAAGACGATTTCGATGATTTCCTAGGGCCGCGCAGTGGCAGAAGAAGTGGAGGACTTCTTCCTCCTCTTCCTCGTATCGACAACTCCTGCAGAAGTCATTGTGAGGGATTGACAGTCTAGGGGCGTAAGTGCCGATCTGTCAGTGTCCCGTGATGGTCCCAGATGGTCCTATTGAGTCTATATAGCTGCACCGAGCGCGGAGTAGAGATCATTCATTTAACTGTTTGGGTACAAATGACCAGAGTAGCTTTCCTCGCAACAGGTAGCTTGGAAAAATTGGGCACCAAGATCGGCAATTGCCCGATCATTATTTGCCGACGTATTACAAAATGCGAATTAGCGAGGATGGGTGTGCGGACGTTCTACGCTTACTGTTTACGAAGCTGTAAAACTGTATTGAGTCACTCGTGCATCTCATGCACTCTCGTGCATCTCATGCACTCTCGTGCATCGAGATAGGTAGTGTTATAGCATTAAGAGCTGACAAGTTTGACCGAGCTATTACATAGCGAGAGTTATTGAAATTTGTTATACATTTGTTTCAATTTTTTTGACTGGATAAGTCTGTGGTAAACCAATGGGGTTTTTCAGATCTAATCGGACAAGAAAGCGGGCTACAAGAATCAAAAAATTTGCCAAGAGCATTATACAAAATGTTTGTGCCTTTTATGACATCAGTGCACAAGTACAAAGCGGACCAATCAAAATTCCTAATGAGGTTATTAAGCTTTGCAAGATCGGCTTTACGAAAGTAGCGGACACGTTCAGATAGCCTACTCGACGGAGTAGGATGTTAGGCGTCCTCAGATATAGTGAGCGGTGCGATCCGATACAAAGCACAGATCAAGAAATCGACGTAAGGAATGTTGTACGTGATTGACATGAGACAGGGACAGGTCAAGCACGCTGCCAACAAAGTCCTGTCGTGATATAGGCAATAGGTTACTAGACTCGTTTACCGAGAACCCAGCAGTTCCTGGCAAGTTGAAGTTAATGCGGATAAGTGCTGCCCATAGAAGAATATATCCGAAGAATGTGGAATATAGCGAAAGCAGAAAGAATCAGTTTTACACACAGAATGGCACGTTGGACTGATTTTGGCGATTTATGGGGAGCTATTATTTTTCTTAGCCTTAAACTCTTTCACCACAAAATGCTCCGGGGAAAAATTGTCAGAACAAATTGTGTCGAATTGAGATGGGGAGACGCTTATCTTAATGGAGGCTATCCACCTTTAAACATGCGGCTTTTATTTGGATTTCTATAAAAGCAGTAACATCATCATGTGAGGTCAGGGGCCAGCCGTGAAACAAAAACTTGTCGTTTTGTTGTAACGGCCACCAGTGGTTTAGGCACCACAGGCCTAGCACCTGGGGTGGCAATATCCGTAGATCCGGATCTTCTATTCACTGGTGGGATCTCAATGGAGGGGACAGATAGTGAGCTTGCGGACACAACGGACGCGGACGCTACATACGTTACTAGCTGCACGTTCTCCGAGGAGATGAATTTTAGTAATATAATAGTGTTTGGTGGCTTTTATTTGCATTGGCTACAGAATTGTAACACACAGAATGAAACATATCCAACCGTATTTAGCTCTTTAAAATAACAGAGTATTAAATTAGTTATAATTGGTAAAAGTGTAAATATTTTAGTTATTATGTAAATACATATGTGAATTAATTTGAAGTTTGCGCCTTACATTGTGTACAGATACAGAAGTGCAATCGATATTATCGATCCAAAAAGGTCTGATATAGAGATAGATTTAAGAGATATACGAAATAAAACGAACGAGTAAGGAACTACATTGAGTGGTTAGAGGAAGTCTAAAATTATAGACGGATCCCATTGCAAAACTGTGGGGGGACTTAGCTCGTACAAATTAGTCTGCACAAATGAGAACTTTTGGTTGGGGTTTCTTCAAAAACAAAACAAAAAAGTTTTTTAAACAGATTTAAACATTACAGTGTGGTCATCCTGCCATGCTGATTCCAGCGAAAAAAGTTAATATCTAGATTTGAAAGCCTCTTCAGCTCAGATGCACTTTCGGCCCTCTTTCAGCTAAAGTGTGCGCGAGGCCTCGGAGTATACAAAATTTGGAGCGCCAACACTAGCGTTCTTAAAAGTAACTGGCCGCTAATTGAATTGAAAGTTCATTATTTAAGTCTCAATCAAATATTATATTTAACTGTTTATATAATCCTAAGCTCTTAGAACAAACCTACTTATTTTAATATGTCATTAAGTTAAATTTTTGTTTTAATTTTAATTTTTATCCAATTTAATTAATTGGCCGTTTCGCATGCATCTACCCAATCATTATAAACGTCAATTGGCTCTGATAAAAAATTAATTCCAGTTTGAAAGTCTTCCAAACACACTCGACACGTGATTTTTGCTGTGTTTCTTCCTTTATCCCTGAAAGTTTTGAAATTAAAGATGTAATTGGTATACAAGAATTTCAAGCCATTTAGAATAAAAACCTTAAAGGGAGAGTAATATTCCCGCCGTGATATAAAGTTTAAAAAAGAAAACTCATACTTTTATGTACATATTTAGGTATATGTACATACAACTGAAGTGCTGTCTGAAGTTTTGAATGTCTGAATGTGTCGTGCAATTTTAAACACCTTGGTGTTTACCACAAGCCGCATACTGCCCTTTGGCATTTTTTTTTTTTACAAAATAACAATTTCGATCTATTATAATCTTTATATGTTAAATGCAAAGGTATGCTTATATCAACTGTAATATGCTAGGTTTTAACTCTTAATGGCTGTAATAAACACATTCGTGCGTGTCAGTAAAGATAATTACATTTTCACTTCACAGGATTTTTCATGGTTGCAGAACGGACAGTTAAATTGCTGGTCCAGTGGTTCTATATTTTTCCTTTTCGGTGGCGGCTTTCTTTTAGATTTTCTTCGCCCCATCGTCGGCACAGATTGACAACAAAGTTTGACTAAATTGCCTAAAATTGCTAAGAGAAAATATAGTTGACATTCTATTGCCTTTGGAACAATGGTAAGAATCTCTGAAATAACGTTCCAAGCATGCCATACCATTTTCCAAAATTGATTGTTCATACTATTTGCTTTTGCACACTGAGCACAGACCATGATGCAATTATACAATTTCCCCAGTCTGTGCTGGGGAAACGGTTGATAATTTTGTCAGATGTAAAACACCATCCATCAAAAACAGATGATTTATTAATTACTTGCTCTCTTAAAAAATTGCATCAGTCCTTCTGAAATTTATTTTGGGTGCTGATCAGGTCCTGAATGCTGCTTTTGATGAACTAGATTTTTTTTTGTCGTTTTCTAGCGATCTCTGTGAGCACAGTAGACCAACCACTTTGTACGGGCGCTGCAGGATCTGTCCAGTTGACGTCGATAGAGTCCCAAACGAATTTATTAACATCTGCAATGAACGCTTATAGTTAAAAATAACATCTGGGGTTTAGGAATATCCCACATGGATGGTGGAATAACTGGGAAATTTTCGGAGCGGCAAAACCTTGCCATCCCAGAAATGGATGGTGGACAGTGTGAATAGGCTACTAGGGCTGCTAATTATTATTCGGCAATAGCAAATAAAAACCAAAACTTTTAAATGAAAAAGTCTTTACTGTTTTTCAAAATACAGCAGCTTATGATCAATATACTTTTGCATACGTTCGAACCATTGCTCAAAGCTGTTTTTTCATTCCTCTTGAGACACCTCCAAAGCATGGTTTTTAAACGCTTCTTCGGCGCTCATCAATTGTTAACCACGCATTTTTTTTTTTATGTGAGTGAATCAAATGAAGTCATTGGGTGCCAAGGCAGGACTGTAGGGCGGATGAGACATCATTTCGATTTTTTGACTGTCTGAGAGCTCGCATTGTCATGATGGAGAATGATTCGTGTTCGGCAGTTGGTTTTGCGAATTTCTCCGAAGACCTCCGGCAAAAAAATGGTCGTGTACCAATCAAAATTTGCAGTCCTACGTTTCTCTAGCGGAGCAACGGCATCATGAACAATTCTCCCGAAGAAACAGTCGATCATTTGCTTCAAAGTTGAACTGCTATTGGAACACCCACACGGTCGATTGCTATTTAGTTTCCGGCTCATACGTATATATCCATGATTTATCACCTATCCCGATTTTATTAATGTCTTTTGAAGCACCACCGTCGAACTTTTTACGCATTTCATCGATTGAACCACCACGATTACATTCGGCAAACCAGCGATAAATTGTTGAAGATCATCAACCCATTCTTGTTGGGAAAAATAATCCAAAGAAAAGCCTCTAGAGAAATTTCCTTTGTTTTGGCAAATTAATTTTTTGAACTGATTGTAAACAAAAAAAACCATTGTACGTATATATGTATATGCTAAAAAAAAGACAAAGTTCATTATGGCGTTGTCAGATTTTACGTATTGACATTAGTATTGCCAATTCCTGAAAACAACCTGTATTTTACATTGTTTTGTTTACCACAGATAGCCCAACTTCCAAATGTGTTTATACATACTACCAATGGAAAGTGATCACAACCACAATAAGTAGTGTTCTTAGGTCAGTTGTTTCTTGTTTCAAAAATTCTGCTTACTTGCCGACGCTAACTTGACTAAATTCCTATCACTTTGTCCACTTTACTTAATTCACCCAAAAATTTATATTTATATTTGGGACAATTTGTAAAAATTTCGTGGAAAATGCCAGTTGAAGAGAAAGTATTCCTTGAGGATAACGTCGGAAAACGATTAGATCGCTGTGTATCAGATACCATTGTTAAAGGAGGTGAGTAACTACTTATGTAATGCACCATCGGTATATGCAGAAAAGTTTAAAGAGTAAATCCAGGATTTGTTCTAAAAAATGTCGCATTTAACTTGTCGTAGTGCAAGTAATAAATATTTGTGTGGGTGTATCATTGAATATTTATTAAAGTTCCATATCGGTGAAATCAGGGAAGAGGGTGTACAGTTAATTTATAATACACATACATGTATTCACAAAATCCATTTTTCAGGTGGAGGACTTATTATTGGATCTGCTGTGTCCCTACTCTTTTTCAGACGACGAGCGTGGCCGGCATGGCTGGGTACTGGATTTGGAATTGGCGTGGCATATAGGACATGTGAAAAAGATTTAAACAGTTTGAAGTAGAATGTAAATAAGAGTTAGTTTCATTCTGTTCAATTAATTCATGTGGTATAGAAGCAAATAATGTAGTATGTTAGAAATAAATTCATGACGGCATTCTCTGTTCGCTAAATACTGGGTGCCAAATAATAGCTAAGTTTTTCATGGAAATACACCCATCCTAATTACATATTTTTTGGTGGTTTAATATACATATATTTCGACCCTTTGGACAGACTGCGATTGAAGTTGATGGCACTAACAATTATAGCTGGAGAAATATCGATGCTAACATCGATGTTTTCTGAAACAGCAGAATGTTGTTACGCGCACATCTCAGGCAAAAACGAAGCCCTCCTCTTGTCCAAGGGGCGTTGCTGCATGACGCGCGGCGCGTAAACCGAATTAAACAGGAACATGCAAGAAAGAAAGCTGTCATAATAATATTCGAGGAAAATTAGAACTAAACTTAATAAAAGAACTCAGCATGCATTCAAAATACAATTACTAATTACGGAAAAGGTATGTGAGTATTAGTAATTTAATAAGAGGAATTGAATTAGTGGAAAACTCCGATTCACACTGGCACCATCCACCATCCGTCAAAAACAGCTAATGCCAATGACAAGTACATTAAATTTGAGGGGAAGATTTATTAATTTTTGTTCTTATAATGGATGATGAAGATGTAGGAATTATTTCGGCCGTGGTTCAACAGCAAAATATGCGAACAGCCTGATAGCAGCAACAGTTCTGGTGATTTTTATCACCAGAACAGATACGATCTGCCATCGCAAAATATTGTTTAGACCATAATGCAAATTATAAACTTATTTATTTGTATTTCTCAGCACTCTCAGCTCTATTTCTCTCATTTCTCAGCTCTTCGAGTCGCTCTCTGGCGATCTCTGCCATCCAAGAAGTGTCGTCTTTTTTGGTTCGCTTTGTCGGATGCCCTTGTTGCTAGAAAGGGTGATGGAGGTACATGATCCGTCCAGATCCAACTCGATAATGTCCGAAAAAAACTGATTATTAAAGAATAAATTATGTCAGTCGTCTGCCATTTATTCGCTACACACTTGCAACTTCAGCCTGGCAGACTCGGCCACGCCGCATTCTATCTCATCGCCAGCCTTGATTTTTTTGACTTCTTTTTTGCCGCCCCGGTACTTTCCACGACTGGAGGACGAGATCTGAACCTATTTCCAACGACCTAAAGAGGCTTTTGAGGCGTACCTCGTGGACATTCGACTAATGATGCAACGCGCCGGATACACCGAGGCTCAGGAACTGTAAAGGATATATTATAAATGCTTCCGGAATACTAGCTATTTACAAGACAAATGATTTATGAAAAACATGAAAACAAAAATGTAACATTTTTGAAGGCAATAATCGATTAGGAAATGTCGTTTTATCGGCTTATCGTTTTAAATTATTTTCTATGGATTGCCATTTCTCAGTTGTGAGCAGCTAGTTTTGAGCACCACTCCACTTTTTGGAGTGTTGAAGTCTTTTGTACTTTACAGTTGGAGTGGAGTATGCGTATCCGACGTCCTAACTTTCGTTAGCTTATAAGCGATAGTTGGAGATAAATCATTTGTCAAATCACATAAATCTTTAAGACCGAAACATAGCTTTAACGCATAAGGCGCGGATCTAGACTTTGGGTGGACCCATTTTAAAGCTATTCTTTGAAATTATGAATTCCTTGAAAACGGGAGCTTTGGGTCATTGTAAATGTCTTTTTTGTGTACTGTATTCTTCTAAATTTCATCTTCGACCAACTAATCGCCTCGGAGCTTTTTTCTGATCAGTCGCGCGCTTTCGCTCTCATATTTTCATCCGTCTGAATCGCTGTATATCGCCGGAATAACCCTCAGTGAAGAATTTCACTTCCTCACAAAGAGAACAAATTAAATTATTAATAATTGAATCCATTTTTATTATACATTAAACAGTTTACATTCAATAGTAATGTTATGAACTGCAAGCTATGGAATGAAATATGTTAGTTTCCAATCTTTTCAATGTCATCAGCGCTATCAGTATTTAAAACTTGAATGTCTTTTTTAAAATGTTTTTCAATGGCACTACACACTGCCATACATTTTTCTCCGCTTACAAGGTTTATAGCGATTCCAGACTTTCCTGAAATAGAACGCAATATAAGTGGTGATTAGATAGAAGTACTTTGAAATCAAGCTTCGGGTGCCGAAGAATCAATATAAATGCAAACGAAAGCACATATGTATGTATAAATCGTCTCCGAGGCTGAATACGTACATATTATTGATAGGCATTATGACAATAATATGGTCGGACTATCTTTATATTTATATGCGATTTTCGTACAATTGAAACAATGGGGGTGGGGGGAGATCACTCGCGGCATAGGCCGCGGCTCTACCTGCACGAGTGCATACTAATTCGTGCACAGTATCAAAACACGATTCATGTTTCCTTTTCACACTATCTTATAATTCATTTTCTTCCCTTCATTTGTTGACTACGATTTGTTAATGGTATGTTATTGATTCCCCTCACTGTTCTGTTCTATTGCTCTGTTCGCTGAAGTTAGTTCCCTAGATCTCGCTTTCACGGAAAGAGTGTTTTCCCTAGCAAAGAACCTAATTTGCGAAAAGAAAACCCATTTCAAGCAACTACGACATGGTGAACAAAACTATGTTTTTAAATATAAATAAAAAAAATATATTAATATATATATATATATATATATCCTTCTGCAATTTCATTTGTTCCTTCTGGATATAATAATGATCCGATCTGTTTCGACATCATCAAAACAGTGAATGACATAGATTTGTGTCCTTTGTGGGGGCGGGGCGAAATTTTGAAATACACTTGTAATATTGGGATATCACAGGAATCTGGATACAAAATGTTGTTTCTCTAGCTTTTAATTTCTGGGATATAGGCTCTCATCGGACCGACAAACAGACATGGCCATATCGACTCGGCTATTGATGCGGATAAAAAATATATATTTACTTCATGGGGTCGGAAACGCTTTCAAATTTGTTGTTTTAACTAATATGACATACCAAATCGTCCGGTACGTCCGATGCGATGCAAATATGTCTCGCAGTCTGCGTTGCCTCGAATATCTACCGGCAGGTCAAAATTAACGACAATTGTAACTTGTTCAATGTCAATACCTATAATGAAGAGTATAATTTGAGTAAATAAATGTTTGTTATATTCATTAAAAAATTACCCCTTGATAAGACATTTGTGGTTATGAGAACTTTTTCTAGTCCTGAACGAAATCGATCCAAAACAGCAAGTCGTTGATCAACAGTCAAGTCACCAGAAAGAACAGCAACAGAATGACCATCCGAAGTCATCTTCGATGCAAGCCAAGCAGCAGTACGACGCGTCTAAGAAATAAAATTTAAAAAAATTTGTAATCATCCCTGTCATGCATCGACATCTTACAAATAATGGCAAGGGAAAAAAGCGGGAATGTTGTGAACCGCGGCAACAGGCGCGGGTCTACTTTTATACTATGAGGATCCAGCTGGGAGCCTCACATTCATAAATACTTACACTCCTAAATTATCCAAGACCTAAGCCAATCCTAAGACACATCTCGTATTGAAGCGAGCCCTTTGCATAGAACACTGAAGTCAGAATTATATTTGCTCATAGCCGAATAAGGTAGAACGTATTAAGCCTTAGCATAGTCAAACACGCGCCAATTGATTAGCTCACCCACACCCAAGAAACAGCGGCGGAGAGGAACCACCACGGATAGCAACAGCAGGGAACGAAATTAATATCACAAAGAAAGAGAGACTCTTCACTCTTTATTAATGACTTGCCTTCGGTATTAACAAACTCTCGAGTACTTATGTATGCGGATGATGTCAAACTCTGTGCCCAGTATAAGGACATTTCATTTCATTCTCGCTTGCATGCTGATATCAATAACTTTCAGTCATGATCTTGTGAAAACTTGTTACTAAGCGAACTTCACCGAATTGTTTCGTGAAATCACGGCACGTCTTTAATAAAGTCGAGCGAAAGTGCTTCCTTACATTTTTCGGCATAAAAAGCCCGTTTTTCATCATTCAGAATTTTCAACCTTCGATGGCCTCATAGGACTTGACACATTAACCGAAGCTGGCGCCAATATTAACCTAGGGACAAAAAGACTTCACTTCGGAAATTAATCTGAAAAGATTTTGTTCCACAAGTGCCCCAGCGTCAAGTTCACAAAAGTGGACGACATCGAGGTTCCGCCAGCTGTAAGAGACGAATTTCTCAAAATAATGGCCAGTCGCATAAAAACATTTGCAGATCCAAACGAAATGATGCCCTTTAACACGGCTGTAGTCGCTACGATCAGAACCGAAGATGAAGAGCCAATTTACTCAAAAATTTACCCTTTCCCTGTATAATCCACTGATTCGTTAATGACGAAGTGAAGGACTTATTGCGGAACGAAATTATTCGGCCATCCGAATCTCCGTACAACAGCTCCATATGGGTTGTTGGAAAGAAAGGAACCGACGACTCAGGTTCAAACAAAAAACGGTTAGTCATAGACTTCCGCAAGGTAAACACAAAAACCATGCCAGAGAAATACCCGATGCCTAGTATCTCCATGATACCTTCGAAGTTGGGAAAAGCAAGATATTTTACAACCCTTGATTTAAAATCGGGGTACCAACAAATCACGCTAGCTGAAAGCGATCGTGAAAGATCTCATTTTCGGTAAACGGAGGAAAATATGAATTTTACCGTCTGCCATTTGGCCTAAAGAATACTTCAAGTATTTTCCAGCGGGCGAGTTGGTGCTTACGCTCACTTTTTGTACTTACTCTCTCACCATTATAAGAATTATAATAAATAGTTATTGCCTAATGCTCGCAGTAGTAGAGAAACGAAATTAAAAGAAAAAAAATTATTTAATCACATACACCAAATACGAACTCCCCCAAAAATGTTGGGAGAATTTAGTGGATAGTGTTAGCTTAAATCAGTTGTCTAAAAAACAATATGTAATTTTTACATGAAATTTAAAAAAAAATTGTTTTAGGAAAACCCTAAAATAAATGTACTCTATAGTTAGCTGTCAATTTTCGATAATAAGCATGAACTTTGTACTCACATGACAAAATATGAT